GTCCTGGCTGTGCCCCCTCCCAGCTTCTCGCTGGCAGGGCAAGAGAAGCTGAAAAGTCCTTGACTAGTGTAAGCACTACTTAGCAACAACCAAAACATTGGTGTGTTATCAACATTATTCTCATGCTAAATCCAAAACACAGCACTGTACCAGCTACTAGGAAGAAAATTAACTCTATCCCAGCCGAAACCAGGACAAGGCGAGATTAACTCGTGGCAAGGGTGTAGACAGTGACAAAGCCTTGCCTTCAGATATTCTTGGCTAAGGATGTGGTATAAAAACAATACTGGATAATAAACAGAACTGTGCAGGTTGGGCCATCCCAGACCCCTAACGTTTCTGTACAACCTGGCTTTGCTGAAGACCATTGCCTTCCCTGCTATTTGTGATGTTATGACCTTAAGGACATTCCTTCTGAGGAAGGGAAGTCAAACTGGACAGCCTTACTGTAGTGTGATTCATCATCTGCCCACATCCCAGAGGCCCCATCCATGTATATATGATGATGCATACATTTCCTCTCCGGATAAGAGTGAAGATCTGCTTGGCATTCTTGGAGTCCAGTTGCTCCATAAATATAATGAAGCTCTTCAGTGGGGATAGAAAGCCATTTCTGTGTATTAAGTAACTGAAAACAGTGTTGATTTCAATTGAATGATGTCCCTCCTGAGGACGAATTGTTCTCTTGTGCACAAGTCTCCCTGTTTTCCTGGTAGGCAGCTCACTTTCCCAGCTCCAGGAGGCCCTTTAACACAAGACAGCTGAGTTCTTTCCTAAATATCAACAGATGCCTCCTCTAATTAGAGGAGGTTTAGACAAGGAAGTTTGTTTATGAAGTTAGATATGTACACTCACAGCTACTTTTGTCTGTAGCAGAATCGGAGTCCTTACATCTGGCTACCAGCTCAACATCCTCATTATTGCCTTTTTTTTAAATCAGTAAAGAGGAGAAAGAGGACTGAGTTTAGCAGAAGATTGAGTTATTTTGTATCATTACTGGATTTTTCTCTTCAGACTTTGCGAAAGAGTCTTAGGCACTTCTGTGTTTGTGCATGTGATTTTTATGTGCATTTATGCGTGACTGGCCTATACAGTCTCTGGTGAAGGCTTTTCTGCCAGGGTAGCTCGCCATTTCCACGCTGTGGAAACATTGCCCACCCTCTGCCAAGAAGGTAGAGGCTCTGATTCCCCTGGAATATTTTGTATGGGCCCTGTGCATTTGGCACAGGAATTGCCCAGTGCTCGGCTGTGGGATAACAGGGTCTAAGAAAACCAGTGAAACCTGGTTGTGGCTTTCATGTTTTCAGGATCCTGGTGTCAGTGCACAGCAGTTGTGCTTGCTGAGAGGTGGTGCAGCAGAAACAGCATGTCTGTGAGTGTGTACCTTGCAAGAAGGCAAATGTTTGCTATGCGGAAGGCTTGCTTATTAACTGTCTTGCTCCATGTGTCTTGCTGTTTAGCTTCTGCTGAGCTGTTTGCATACAAAGTTTGTCTGTGTCCCTCTCCTTTCAGACTTTGGTTGTGCAGGGGAGGCCCATGTGCAATGGCTGCTTAGAAATGGCATGCTGATCTGGGTGTTACTGATTGCTATTTGTCTTCTTCCTTCCCCAGGAAAGTGGAGGACTTGCAGTTCCGTGTGGAGGAAGAATCCATCACGAAGGGGGATCTGGAGGTAATTCCTAACACCCCAGTGTGGGATTAAAACCTGAAATTGCATGTGAGGCCTCACCTGAGTAATTTCTGCCACCTTTTTCTCAACTCTAAACAATACATTATCTTTATTGATGGCTTTGGACCTGCTGCGAACAGTGTGGTATAAACTGTGAAGATTGTTCTTTGGTATGTTGCCCAATGACTAATAACTCTGGGAGCTGCCTAGAATTAATCACATGCAGCCAGCCTGGCTTTAAATGTTGCCATGAGTTTCCAAGCCATGCTAAAATCTGACTGTATCTGAATGCATTTCAACATATGTTTTTCCACTGTAGAAATGATTTGACTGCTCAGTCACTGTCCCTGCAGTGTCCTGTTATTAGCAGCTAATTGGCACGCACAATCTCCCAGTTGGATGCTATTCTTTTCCAGCCGAAATGCCGTGTATCGTTTGACCTGCAGTTCCCTCGTGTGGACTCCTCTGCCCACGAGAGTGGGGTTTGACACTAGGATACCCTTTCATTTGGAAGGGCTGTTGCTCAGAGCGATGCTGTTGCAGTGAATATTGTGCAAACTGGAAGTGGTGTTGGGAGCTTGCCCTTGAGTGGGAGGCTTTTCTGTGGGGGCAAAAAAAGGAAAAGAAAATATTTCTGTGAAAGCAAGGCGCTCTGCTCTACATGTGTAAATCGGGACTTCCCCTTATCTTTAGCTAGACTCTAGGTTAGTAACAGCCAGAAATGTCAATGGACCTGCTCCTGTGCTTCACTGTCAGCCATATCAATAAAAGTCCAGGAAAATGGGAAAACTGGGCAATGGAGTATGTTGCTATGGCTTTGACCCTCTTGGCATAAACCTTTCCCCTTTATCCAGAAGCTGAAGCAGAGTAATGTGTTTGACAGGGTGTCAATCAGCAATGCGCTTATAGCAGACCTTTGCTAAAGGACAGCAAGTGCCATTTCTGCCTAGCGTGTGGGTGCAAAATCAGGTTTCTTTTGATTCCTGAGCTTAGATGATAGGTTTCCCCAGTGCTTTAGAGCAGGGTGATTGATCCATCACTCCCTTTGAGAGCAGTGAATTGTCCTTGTGTAAGCTTTAAGCGTTTAAGCCTGGCTGTGGAGTAACGGCAATGGGACCAGGGTTAGCTAGCAGGTATATTTAGATATATTTAAAAAAAAAAAAGCCACCACACCTTACCAAGATGGTAAGCTGCTGTGACGTAAGTGCTCCTATAACTGCAGGTCCCAAACTCAGGATAGATCTGATTTTCATTTGGGCTGGGAAGGAGTTGCTTTGCAATGGGAATGTGGCCAAGCTTCTTGCAGGCTGCCGGGGTCCTGTCCCCACTTCCATGTTCGTCCGTACAGAAGAACAAATAACTTCTTAGGGAAGAGTCGTGGAGCAGCTTGGTTTCCTGCGATCCAGAGAACTGGGATGTTCCCCCGTGGGTCCAACATCAGACAGTCGGACACTGTCAGAGGGCTTTTGCTGTGGTCAGTTTTTACATTCTGTCCTGTCTAATTTGGATGCTCAGACTGAATGATTGACCCACTGGAGTTAATTCTCACCTTCCTGCTTTGTTGTGGAGACAGTTAGGATTTCCAGAAGCAAGTAATTCACTTAAAGAAAAAAAATCTCTCATTGGAAATCAGGGGGATAAGTGCTCCTTCATGTTGCAGTATGTTTCCTGGGAAATGGTTGTCCCTGATACTCTTCATGTAAAATCACCACAAAGTCAACCAGTGGCTGCTAGCACAGCCCTTTGCATCCCTAACTAGACCTCAATTAATCACCCAAATACTAAAAGCAAAACCCAGCAACAGTTGTCTCCCCTCCTCTGGTCTTGTAGTCCTCTTGCGCCAACAGCCCTCTTCTGAGTAATCAGAGGAGAACGTTTATCTTGCACTTAACAGTTAGTAACAGACATGATGGTAAGAAAAGATTATCTCCTCTGTGGTCCCTGGATCTAGGGTTTCTGCTGAAGGCTAGGCTAAATCCCATGGTATTTCTCATAATACCACGTAGTTTTTGAACGAAGCTGGGACTCTCAGGTGTTGAGTGTGGCAAGCAGCATCCCTAGAAGTTCTTTGACCAAAGAAATCAATGTGTCCAAAGCCTGGAGACAGGAGTCCAGGTTTTGTACCTCTGATAAAGGAGGAGAAGCTGCGGATTTAGCCTTGAAATGTAGTTGTTAATTCAACCCATTTTTGGTCCTGGTTGGCAATGCTGATGCTATAGTGCTTTGGAAGGTGAAAAGCAATTGCAGGAAAACAAAACCTTTTAAGAAAGGCTTTTTATGGTGGAAGACTGTGTTGTTATAGGAAATACTAACCTCTTCAAGGAACTGTCTCGTGCTCATCTCCTGGAATCTACCTCATACATTGAACACCAGTGGGAAGTCAGTTTGTAACTTGCAAATAGTAATTTAAGGCTAATAGCAAGAAGCAAGTCTAAGATTCAGACCTGAACTTCCTCAAAGTGCAGGAGAACTTTGGATTTGAGGCTCTGAGTCATACTGGCTAAGCGAACCAATTTGCATAAAATAAGAAATAACACTTGATGCGAATCTTAAGTGAAGCTATATTTAAGGACTGTAAAACAGTTGATCTAACTTTCTTCCCCGATTATTTTTCTCCTCTATTTTCATATGTTTTTCCAGACTTGGAAAATAGCAGGATTGCTTAGACTGGGCAAGCTTGGCTGGGAACTTGAATGTCAACCTCAGGAGACTTGAGAGAGTTTCTGTGGGAGATTCAGAGATTAGTTTTTTAATAGGTCAGCATCTTCAGGTAGCCAATATCTGACATGCTGCCACCAGTTAAGGTAATTCCAAAAGTTTGTGTTGCTGAAGTTTCACTTGGGATTTTGAGCTAGTGTAAAGTGAGGAAAATTCATTAGTGTCAATGTAATAATTACCCCTGTAAATAAAATCAAGCCTGGAGCTCCATCTTGAGATGTGGATCTTTGAGCTTTGCAGAGAGCAGGAGAAGCCACTCAGTACAAAATTAAATTCCTTTATTTTTCTTATTAGGATGCACTCAGCCAACTTTAGCACGTCAGTGATATTATTTGGGGGTTTTGATACTGTTCGGGTTTTTGAGACCACATCTTTTTTCCTCATTCAGGGGTCAAATAGGCTGCATAAAATATGGAGCAGTCTGAATATATCTGGCAGTTGACAGCTTGACCACCTATGAATACATGTATAATGATACCTTTCAAGTCATAAGAGAAAACATGGGTTTTTACAAACTTCAGTTTCCATCGTTTGTACACAGTAAAGCATGTTTGGGTTAGTTGAAGGAAAGGGCAGAAAATCCCTAAAACTGGTTCCAATAGAAAGACGGAAGCAAATAATTATATGGAAAATGAAGGGCAGAAAATGGGGATGAAAAAAAAAGGTTCTGATCAGGTTTGTTTGTTTTTTGGTAGGTCCAGTTTAATTCAAAGGAAAATGTTGGTTTTGTAAGCTAAAAAAAAGGTGAAGGCCAGAGTCTGCATGCATTTTCCCATGTCTCCTCTCCTCTTTTATTTATGGGAAATTTTACATGATATTACAGTGGTCATTGTAGAGTCCTGAGGTTTGTCACCAAGTGCAGCTATATGGTACTTCTGCTTTAAAAGTGAAGGGCACCGAAGCAGTGCCCTGAGTCAATGCTCCTGGATTTGACGAGCGCTTAGTTTACTCATCTGTTTAAAAAACAAAAAAGCAAAAACAGAACCAAAAAATAGTTCTGTTTTGTGTACAAGGCTGTTAGTCTTAGTGTACAAAAATCACTTTGAAATTCATAGCAGCCCTATTCAAACCTAAAGCACTGATTTATATAACAGTTTGGTATCTAAATTTCTTTGATTTGCTTTCAGGGCAGTGTGTTTTTGGTTTTAGCACATACTGTGTACAGTATGACCTGCTTTTTTTCCCCCCCACCTAGTGCAGTGTTCAAGCTGTCTCCGGAGCAAAAAGAGGATGGGAACTTCCAACTCTTTTCAGTCTACCTTGTGATTCTTCTCGAGGAGAGATGCGGAGAACCATTGCAAGGTCTTTGCCTTCTCTTATGTGGTGCAAGGGTCTTGTACTGGCGGTCTGCAGCAGTGGGAGCTTTGCTTTCTAGGAAGCGTCTTCAGTATAGTCTTGATGCAGGAAAACAGCGAAGCAGCTTTCTAATGCAGAGGGATGTTTTCCCACCACAGATTCCATTTTCTTGTGAATAGCCACTACAAGTACCATGTAAAATCCCCTAGTGACCATTTTCTGTTTGGTTGGATTTTTCCTGCTCGTTTGGATCTTTATTCTCCTCCTGTTGTGAACTGCCTTTCCTTGTCTTGTACACTGAAGATCA